TTTTACCATTCTATTTACTATTTAACATGATAGCCTTTCCAGGCTTTTTGATCAAGTCTACCAGAAACATCATTCCCCAGCATTCAACTCCAATATATATACACTGGAGACTTCTATTTCGAAAATTATCCTTTCACAACACTCTCCCACCTAAGTCCTTAAACTGACAGTATTTTTCTGAATTTAGAGAAATTATCCAAACATTAAAGGCTATATGTTTTCATCAAGCTACTTGTTTTTATCAAGCTATAGGTAGACAGTAAAAAAATATATATATACATATTAGCAAAAGCATTTGTTTGACTATAAAAATGTAACTCTGTGAATGTATTCTTTTGCATAGTTACGGCACTGCATTCTAAAAACAAACTGACATCTCAGTTTATTTTACTTACACAATAAGTTTAATTTACACAGAAATGATAGAGCATTTCAGGAGCAAGTCTTAAAAACAATTTCTGCTGAATGACTGCTATAATAATCTCCTTAAGAGAGGAATAAACATAAACTAAAACGGCAGTTGTGAAACATATATAGTGCTCTCAGCTGAAGACAAAACTCAATATTTAGTAGGAATACACTAAAAAAACAGAATGGGTTTTGGTTTAGATTGCTAGCTGAAGTCAAAATCTGTTTCCTTAAAACTTCAATCTTAAGCATATCAAAAGCTGTTTATTAAGGCAGGCTCCCAGGCAACAAACTCAAATTTGCACTGTCTTCTGAATTTCCCCCTATCCACCAATGAGGAGAAAAGAGGTTTCTCAGTGCTTCTATGTCCGGGACGTGGTGAGACGCTTTCTACAGGTTCTTGCTTAATGGAACTAGGGATCTTATTGGTAACATGAAGTACTAAATTACTTTCAGAATTTAAATACAAAGGTTTATTTGTTTTCTAGGAACTGTAGACAGTTATATAAGAACTTACATTTTCTAAATTATAGTGACATAAATCTAGAGTTGCCAACAAAGGTTAAAAATTTTCCAATGGAATATGCCACAAATACAGTCTATTTTTTATCAAATAATTTTAATCAGCAAAGCTTTAATAGTCTGAAACTTCTAGAACGTAAATTAAAAGCAGAATAAAATAATTAAAATTGTTTAGATTTACAAATAGGAAAACTATCATTAACATACCATTTTCCTTTACAAGAGAATACATGTCCTTATGTTTAAATTCCTAACATTAAGAAATTCTCTAGGGCCTGCCCCGTGGCTTAGCGGTTAAGTGTGCGCACTCCACTACTGGCGGCCCGGGGTTCGGATCCCTGGGGCACACCCACGCACCGCTTCTCCAGCCATGCTGAGGCCACGTCCCGCATACAGCAACTAGAAGGATGTGCAACTATGACATACAACTATCTACTGGGGCTTTGGGGAAAAAAAAAAAGGAGGAGGATTGGCAATAGATGTTAGCTCAGAGCCGGTCTTCCTCAGCAAAAAGAGGAGGATTAGCATGGACGTTAGCTCAGGGCTGATCTTCCTCACAAAAAAAAAAAGAAAGAAAGAAATTCTCTAAAGTGCACAGATCCAGAATTTACACAAAACAGTTTATATATTTGTACCATACTCATTTATTACCAACAAATATCAGAGGACACAGAAAGTTTCCCCAAATTGCTTAGAGACATGCATAAAAAAATACTGCAAAACAGAGTGAAGTACCTTAAGAGAAATAAAGCAAACTCACGCCTTTAGTTTACTTTAGTAACATTATTTTTTTATTCTATTTTATTTTTAATTTAATTTTTAATCTTGCAAATGACATTCATCTTTAAAGTCACTTTAAATCATTTTTGGAAGAAGACAAGATAGGAAGAAAAGGAGAATGGGGAAAAAGGAAATCGAGAAGAGAGAAAGAAAGACCGTAGCAAAGGAGGTGAGGAAAAGTTCCCTAAAGGAGGAGACGTTTGAGTCAAAACCTGAAGGCAGGTGGAGATAGGGGTATCGTGAACAAGGGAGGAAGGGCACGTCAAAGAGAGAAAACAGTGTAAGATAAAAGTACAAGGTGTGAATGAGAATAGCAAGTTGGTAAATCTAACTTGAAGGCATAGCTCAGGAATAGAAATTAAGAAATATGGATGAAAAGACAGGTCCACGTAAGTGTTAAATCTCACTACAATAAACCCCAAATAAATTCACTGTAGTGAAAATTGTGTTATTATTTGTATATACCTAGAACTCCTACATCTCACTCCTAAGATGTAGGAAATGAAATTCAATTAATAACCAATCTTCAACAGTGAAATTAGCAGTGAAAACAAGTATTTCAAATAAGACATAAGAAGCAAGATGGTATAGAACAAATGCTATAACAACCAGACTTTCCCTCTCCACCCTTGGATCTTTTGTTGTGCTGAATTTTATGTTAGGAAGTTACATTAACTTTTGATCAATATATTGGGGAATAAAAGGGATTGGTATTTGAAGCTCAGGGATCCACTGATCTAAATTTGAGAAACATTGCGTTAAAAGTGAAATTCCGTGATTTTAGGTGATCACTTGGGGCCAACCCGATTATAAACACAAATGTGAATTCAGGTACAGGAGGTGGGAACCTAGATATGCAGAATATTTTCTCTCCCTATATATAATCATTAAACTGAAAATTCAAAATATTTTGATTATCATGGAGTAAAGTCCAACAAAAATAAATCTGTTACCCGCCCCATGTCCAAAGAATTAGGTAGGAGACCGTAGTCTCGAGAAAGGAATCACTTACACATGGGATTGTCTAATAAGACACACTGGCCAGATTTTGATACAAATGATGTTGGAGGATATAGGTTGAGAGTGAAAAAAGATGCAGATACCAAAAAAGACAGGGTACATTTGGAGAACAACACATGTCCAAGTGAACAAGTGTACATGGCTTATGGAAAAGAGTAAAATGTAAGCCCCATATTAAAAAAAAAAAACAAATAGGGCTGGCCTGGTGGTGTAGTGGTTGAGTCTGGCACACTCCGCTTTGGCGACCAGGGTTTGTGGGTTCAGATCCCAGGTGCAGACCTACACCACTCATTAAGCTATGCTGTGGTGGCATCCCATATATAAAATAGAGGAAGACTGGCACAGATGTTAGCTCAGGGACGATCTTCCTCAAGCAAAGAGAGGAAGATTGGCAACTGGTGTTAGCTCAGGGTCAATCTTCCTCATCAAAATAAATAAATAAACAACCCCAGTCCTTAGGCCACAGGGTATGGATATTCAATAATCAAAATATTACCAGTTTGCAGCATATAATTAATTCAAGTGGAAATAGGCAAATTTTTTTTATGTGCAGCAGAAATTATTCAGGGCATTAAACATACTTAAGCTATAAATGCTAGAGAACAATGTCAAGAACTGTGGAGGGCCTGAGATTTTACCCTGCTTGCAAGGTAACAAGTTAGCCTACTACAGTTTCATGGATGCTGCCAGAAGACACTAGACTCCAGGGTCAGATGTTACTCAGGGTACAGCAGGCAGCATCAGCTTCATGTTTTCATCTGTTCCTCTTGCCCCTCAAATCCCAAAAAGGCCATATGGATAGGCCAAGAGTAGAGGCTGAGCACACAGTGGGACAACATCAAAGTTAAGGAATGACAAGCTTACACAGCCCAATCTTATAAGAGGGTTGCTAGCAAATCTGCCCACATATTGCCACCAATAGAGGAAGGGAGGAACGTTATCTTTAGTAGCTTGGACAGCAAACAAATCTGCCCTCTGCCTTGGAGGAAGACACAATCTCTATCTTCCAAGGTTGTTTCTTACACAAACGTTCTCAAAAAGATAGTCCAGAACAAAGCAGTCAATGCCTTTTCTCAGAGACATGCAGAAATGCAAGAGATCCATGGAGAACTGTCTCCCAGCCAACATAAACTAAGTTTCATATATTCTTTATGCTATTCTTTTTTGTGTGTGTATGAAGAAGATCAGCCTTGAGCTAACATCCATGCCAATCCTCCTCTTTTTGCTGAGGAAGACTGGCCCTGGGCTAACATCTGTGCCCATCTTCCTCCACTTTATATGGGATGCCGCCACAGCATGGCCTGACAAGCGGTACATCGGTGCGCGCCCGGGATCTGAACCCAGGCCACCAGCAGCGGAGTGCACGCACTTAACTGCTATGCCACGGGGCCAGCCCCTCTTTACGCTATTCTTAACCAAGTAACTCACTGTGACTACTTTATTAAAGAGCCAACAAGGAATAAAGAAATTTCAGCTTTTCCTTAGAGAAGTAAAGTAGTTGTCTAGTTATCACACTAAACAAATGTATCCCTATGCATTTTATTAAAAATACTTAATATGACAGAGAATGAGTAAAACTTTAGCTTTAACAAATCATTCACCTGAATGACAAATGACATTTTCAAAGGTTCCTACCACCGGTATCATGTGAAGTACCTAATGGTCACAAGGCTTAATCCTTTATCAAGTCAGTAAGCAGGTTAGATCCAATTTATTAGCCAAATATCAATCCTCTTCATATAGATAAGCACTTTTTTTAACTTTATTGAGGAATAATTGACAAACATAATTGTAAATATTTAAAGTATACAAAATGATGATTTGATATACATATTCTAGAAAGATTATCAAGATCAAGATAATTAATATATCCATCATATCACACAGTTAACACAGGTAACTCTCTGTTGTTTTTTTTTTTTCCAGATAAGCACTTAAAAGAACACTTATTCCTCCTGGCACAGCAAAGGATTCAACCTCTTAAAACCATTTAAAAAAATAAAATTTGGCATAAATTTGTTTTCCAATGTAATGACTCACCACAAAATATTAAGGTCATGGGAAGGATATGTTTGTATAAAAACATAAACTTTTAAACTGAGAACATGTCAAACATAACCATTAAAGATAATTAAACCAAAAAAAGGCAAAACCTTTTTAGAATCACTTTTTCTAGAAAGAGCACATGACCTGCTTCAGCTTTAAAACCTTTATTCTGACTACTTAAAATTGGAAAAAACAAGGTTGAAGTTGTATATATATGACCATACCTCTCCTAGAGCTTCGTATCTTTTCTGGTTCCATCTGTGCAAGTCTTCCCGGTAGTTAAAAACAAACGGTTCCCCAGTTTTTATGTGCCTTAACTGCCCCTCTAGAAGATAAACAACAACATTGCTGTGATTCAGAGTACATTTACAATAATACGGAAAGTACAACAAATAATGTCTGATAAAAATGTAAAATAACTGTCTCAGAACAGTTTCGTTTTTTCATTAGATTTTTTCTTCAAATATCAATATGATGCAAACATAAAATAGCACAAAAGAATGGCCCCAAGTACTCAAATGCTACGCTTTTTGATTTTCATTTCTCTAATCTAAAGCAAATTAACAATATTTGAGGACCTATAATGTATAAGGATCTTTGCTAGCTACAGCCATGGACATGGTCCCAGTTCTTAAGTTTAGAGGCTACCTGAGCAGTAGAAGCATAAATATTCAAAGTTAAGCAACTTTTCAGGAAGCTCAACAAGAATGAAGCAAGTCAATAATATAAAAACTGCCCCAGGCAATTCACGTAAACAATAAAGTCTAAAATGAGTTTGGAAAAATGAAGGATCCCTATAAGCTAGAATATGTTCAGAAGGTTTCAGTGAGATTTCTCAACCAGGCCTTGAAATATAGGTAGGATTCATACGGAAATTGGAGAGAGGCTGTGAGCCAACACAGGTTTGGACTGTCAGGTCAGACTCACTCAATTCAGAGATTTTACTGATAATGAATAACTTTACTAATAATTTCAAGGGTATAAGCAGTCAACAGGCACAGGCAAAGCAGCAAGAGGTCTGGGACAGCCTGGGTATTTCTTCCCAGGTCCTTTGCTCTCACTTGGGAGCACTCTGCTCCAGAGTAGGCGAGGTCTCTAAGCAAGGCATATAGGTTTCCTCACACATTGGTGAGCATCTTGATTATAAAACACTTCCATTTTATTTGCCAGAGAGTTGTACTGCTTATGTGATATTCTTGAGAGAAACATGTCTCACATATCCATAGATTGTAGGTTTGTTTACCATAAGCAATGCCAAAGTGGTCATCCTGCTCAAAGTATCCCATGGATAAGGATTCTCCTCATAGTAAACATCAGTTTGTATTCACTAAAAGATTAAATTATCAGCATGTTTACAAGGAGAAAAGACCAGGCCACCTGTCTTCTTTCTTTGCCCAGGAGCATTCCCCTGGTAATGAGGAGAGAAATAGACCACAGGCCAATTGCTTTAACCCCCACCCCACCCAAGCAATATAAATAAAATTGTAAAAAATAGACAGCAAGTTCAAATAACAGTGAACAATCCATTTTAACAGAAACAAAGAGTATTGAGCCAAATAGTAGAATATAACACTGGAGGACACGTTGGGATCAAATGGTAGAAGGCCCAAACTACTGGGTTTGACCTTTATCCTAAGAGCAGTGAGGCATAAGAAAGGGTTTAGGGGAAGAGGAGGGACATAATCAAGCTGAAAGAGTTAGTACTTGATTTTTACCTAATGGTGGCACACAGGAGTGGAGAAAGACTTGTAAGTTATGGAACTGAAACTGAATCCAGGAAATATACTACCCCAAGTAAAAAAACTTCACTAGTTTTATGAATCAATTTCACTACATATAAAATGGTTATTTCTAATATATAAAATAAGGGGTAATCTTTAGTTGTAAAGCTCTTTAATTCTCTCAACACGAGACACTGTACTGGATCACTATAACACTCTTTTATGGTCAGATGGTGCCATACAAACTATAAGATGAATCTATGTTTTTCTTTCTGGGAGAAGGAAATTCCGATTTAAGATACCAATACAAGTAGATTGAGGGCATCTACAAATCTAAAACTTATGATTTTGACTAAAGCAACCTTAAAGGTATATGACATATAGTAATGTGTAATATTGCTGCAGCTGAAATTTGAAATGTATTTTCTGTGAGACTGCTGTGTGAAAGGGAACTGACCTACCTAGCTAGTGAGTTTAACAGACCACTTGAATCTACATCTCAAAGACGTTTTGTTGTTTTTTCAAATTCTCTACTCATTTTAGACATAATAATTCTTATAAAGTCATACAGATTTTGATTCTTTAGGAAAAATGGGCCCCATCAAAAGAGCCAACTATTAGTACTAGTGATAAAAGTGAAAAGAAGGTAAAGAGGCAAAAAAGGTGAGCATTCTCATCCAGAAAAGATATCTGGATCACTTATGTTATACTTATATTTGCAAATTTAGCATATCTCAAAGGTTTGGAAAATCTCTCCAGCAACTGTCTATGGTCTGATTTAGGAGACTTTAGCTTAGGGTCCCCTAGAATTGGTTGTAAAGTTTCATGTGTATACCCAAATGCATGTTATTCTGGGAAGTGTTTCCATTTATTTTATTACATTTGTGGTGGAGTCTAGGACCCAAAATAGGCTATCACCAGCCTAAACGAACTAATAAATTTAAAATATTTAGGACACTTTCTGGCACGTAGTAAGAGTTCAGTAAATAACAGGTATCCTGGAAGACAAGGTTCAAACTCAAATGGTCTGCCACCAAGTCCAGTTATTTTTTTGGTGATACAAAGTGTGCAGTATTATGATGCTGCACCAGGGCTTAGGGAGTATGGGTGAGGGTAAAAGGGGGAAAAGCCTTCACCTTCTTCATCTTCCAAAGCAAGGACATTTGAGTTGATCCTTACACAATTACAACAATTGGAAAATGGCTAAATGGGCAATTTAATCACAAGGAATATTTGAAAAGGCACAGTGAATTGAAGGAACAAGGTATCATTTTGATGCAGGTAAAAAGAATCTCTTCCCTTTGTTACAATTTTTTTTTTGCTTAGAGTGAACTTTGTATCCAAATTCTTCTTTTACAACTAAGAACTTTAAAATCCTTTAGAAAAATTTACAAGCTTCTTCAATCAGGTAATGAAAGTTTCATTTCAAAGCTTTCCTAAGAGTTTTTGTCATTATAAATCTGAAAAAGAAATCCCTGAAGATACTAAGTTAGAATTGCCCTTTTAGGGGTTTAATATCGAGACCCAGTTTCCTATTTTCAAATCCTCACCTCTTTGAAAAAATATTCACCACTAACCCTGAATTCAAAGGTGAACTGTATCATGCTAAAAATAAGATCCTTAAAAGTGACATTCTCTCCTTGGAATGCAAGCATCTTTGCCTCACACTGTTAGTCTATATGTATGCAAAACAATGTCTAGGATACTTAAAAAATAAATGGTACATATGTGCAAGAGTGCATGTGCATTTGAGGTATATGTACATGAAAGGGCATATGCGTGTGCAAAGTGTAGGTGTGTACAAAAGTATGTGAGTGCATGGTATATGCATGCAAGGGTGTACAAATGTGTGTAAAGACACGTGTGTGTGACTGTATCTGAGAAGAAAGGGAGAGATAAAAATGTATTGCTTCTTTATTTTTTACTCACTTTAAGAAATGTTCAAGGAAGATGAAAGATAGACTCAATGAAAACTGATGTCCTACATCCATAAACGAAACACAGTTCTATGATTTACCCACACTACCAACACACTCCCCATCGCTATTCTGAAAGAAGAATCTAGTAATCATTTCAAAAGAACAGAGGCAATGTTAGTCTCAGTGCTCATTTGATTCTGTTATTAAAATATAAAAAAAATTTTTTTAAATATTACTATTCATACATATTTTGGCATAAAATATCCTTTATAAAAAAGCATGAGGGGCTGGCCCAGTAGCGGAGTGGTTAAGTTCTGCTTCGGTAGCCCAGGTTCGCAGGTTCAGATCCCGGGCGCAGACCGATGCACCGCTTGTTAAGCCATGCTATGGCAGGCGTCCCATATAAAAGTAGAAGAAGATGGGCATGGATATTAGCCCAGGGCCAATCTTTCTCAGCAAAAAGAGGAGGACTGGCAACAGATGTTAGCTCTGAGCTAATCTTCCTCACACACACACACAAAAAAGCATGAAAATTAATATCAGAAAAGAAATTAAAGTTTCCAATATCTTCCGTTTAAATTCACTTAATATTCTAGTACACAGAGACTATCACTCGAAGTCCTAACACCTATAACTGATATTGTAAAGGGATATCCACTAACACAATGATGACAGATCACCAATTTAGTTAATGCAGAGCAACAAATAGAAAGCTACAACTCAAATGCTACCTAGCCTGTAATAACATTACCCTTCAAGTATAATGGTGTGTTATTAATCCAATGAATCATAATTCTTTGTCCCAGAAACACCCTTGCAATCTATGGTATGTTCTTCCAAATCCCAAGTGCAAAGTTTATTTTACTCAGAATTTAATTAATAAATTTTAAAATAAGGATGTTGCCTGAAAATATGGAAAACTGAGTAATATGCTTTAAAATTTTGTCACAGATAATTATTGCCAGTCATTTCATTTTAAATAACATGAAATGCTACGTGAAATGGTAGCATTCCTTCTATATAATTTAGTTGGGAGTTCCAATTGGATACCAGGGAGCTGAAAGCTAAAGGTTGAAGTACAGAAGCCAAATCAAATTTATGTCCATCAGTTTAAGTGACTTGACAACTATGGGAAATTATAACTTGGTTCTTTTACTTGAGTGAAAAATTTCAGCATTAAAGGATAAGTCATTATTTCTCAAAAGAAATACATAAAGCATTCTAGCTGGCAAATAATATCTGTCCAATGATTCTATTAGCATTGTTAAATAAATCTTACACATAGCACATACCACTTACTTTCATTAAAAGCATATTCAAATCCTTCCAGGGTATCAGGGAAATCAAGAGGTGGTTCATCCTTTTTCATTAGTTCATCCAAATCTATCCTAGATAATAAATCTAGAAAAGAAATGATATTAAATTTACTTATATTCATTTTAACAGCTAATAACAAAGATTATATTTTAAATTATTTTAAGTATTCTTTTGTTTTATTAGATTGCTTTTTATGTGTTAACTTAAATGTGTTAACATTACCTTAAGTGATGCTGTTAAATTTTTAAGTTCCCAAAGTGCTATACTGATGAAATACAATATCAATATAAGAACTTCGAAAATCTCAAATAATTCTCAAAACAATCACAACTCAGATCCTGTGTACCACTATGGTAACTTATTAACTTCTTCCCTTCAAAATACACAGCTATTAACTTGTACCTTATTAACCTCCTTCTATGGTTTTAAAAGTTTCAGATATTAATATGACTTTTAAAAGATCACTAAATCTTACATATAAATGAAACTACTGTTTATGAATAGAGAACTTATAAATCTAAATAGTGGTAATGCATATTATTCCATTTTTAGGGGAAAAATCACATTATTAAAATAAAACATGCTAACTGGAGAAAATTGGTTAACAAGCAGTTTTTATTCTTCACATCATTTGATTCTATATAATCAAAAAAATTGGCAACAAGGTTTTAATACACATTTTATTTTACAATCATTTTAGATTTACAGAAAAGTTGACAGATAGTACAGACAGTGTCTGTATACCCTCTGCCCAGTTTCTCCTATCAATAACATCCTACATTACCACAGTACATTTGTCAAAATGAAGAAACCAACATTGGTACATTACTATTAACTAAGCCCAGATATTATTCATCAGTTTTTCCATTAATGTCCATTTTCTGTTCCAGGATTCCATCCAGGACACCATGTAGCTGTCACATCTCCCCAGTTTCCTCTGGTCTGTGACAGTTTTCTGTCTTTGCTTCTTTTCCATGATCTTGATTGTTTTGAGGAGTACTGGTCAGGTATTTTGCAGAATGACCCTCAATTAGGTTTGTCTGATGTTTTTTTCTTGTGATTAGACTAGGGTTATAAGTTTTTAGAAAGAATACCATAGAGATGAACTGCCCTTCTCATCACATCATATCAAGAGGAACATGATACCCATAGGACATCACTGAGCATGTAAACCTCCATAAGTTCGTTAAGATAGTGTTTGCCAGACTTCTCCACTGTAAGTTATTATTTTTCCCTTCCATAATCTATTCCTTGGAAGTGACTAAATCTAGCCCACTCTCAGTAGGGAGGGAAAGAATTATGCTCTACCTCCTGAGTAGAGAGCATCTACATATATTATTTGTAACTCTTCCGTATGGAAGATTTATCTCTCTTCCTCCATTTACACATTCATTCAATCACTTATTTACATCAGTATGGACTCATGGATATTTATTGTATACTTTGGGTTACAATCCAATACTACATCATTTATTTTGTTGCTCAAATTGTTCCAGCTTTGGGCATTGTAAGCTCTTTCAGCTGGCTCCTATATCCCTTTGACATGCTCTCACCTTTTTGTTTTTTGAGCATTTCCTTACTTTCTGTTACTATGAGATAGTCCCAGGTTATCTTGTATTTTCCCTGCCCCAACCCTATAATCATTCTGTCAACTAGTATTTAATGATACATTTTTGGTTTGCTTTATGGGACGAGGCAAAAGTTCTCACTATATGTCATCATAGAGTCTTTATCGAAACTCATAAAAAGATAAACTTCAAATTTACTTAGTTCCAAAAACACGTGTTTTTTTAAAAAGTTTAAGTTTTGAGATTTTTCATTCTAACTCAAGTTCCTAAAGAGAAAAAGCTCCAAGGATATGTAGTAAAGCAAACCAGTCCCTTTTTCTACAAAAGAAGTATCTCAGAAGTAACACTTTATTTATGTCTCTCACTTACAGAGATATAACAAATCCATCTGTATGGATCATCAAAATAAGCTAGAGAAAAGAGTAGTTTGTCTACCCCTAGTCTCTAGTCTCTCTCCGTAGGACACAAAGATAAGCCATCAAAAAACTTGTTAAAAAAAAAAAATCATTGTTTGGTACTTTTCAAACTGCCATATTAAATAAACCTCAACTCACACACAAAAAAACCATCTTCAACATGCAAACAAAAAATGTTTCCAAAATCTCTAGTAAAATGGAACTGTCACATAATATACATACTGGGCTAAAAAAGGGATATATACAGACAAATTTCTGATTCATTAATTAGTAGAGTTCTGAATACCATGTAAATGTTCTCAAAGCAGAATAAAATAGAAGTTTTTTAATATCAAAAATTGGCTTACAGTGGCTACAAGATTCTCACTTCTCTCCTTCCAGTGAATTGAGGGTCTGGGGCAAAATCAAATTCCTTCACTTCACAGTCATCTTCCACAGTTCAAAACTTAGAAACCTTTTAATTAGACACACAGAAACCATCCAATACACAAGCAGGTGTATTACATTTAACAGCCATGTTCTCATTCTATCAGCTCAGATCATAAAATGCCATCTAATATCTATATAACATTTGAAAGATTCCACATACTTTACCTCATTTGATCATCACAACACTATAAAACAGTAGCCTGTATTATCACCTTCACTGTCTTTCAGACAAGCAAATGAGCTCAGAGAGGTAAACTGGCTTGTCCAAAATTATACCTTAATAGTAAAGTGGGATTAATAAAATCAACGTATTTCCCAATACCTAACTCAGTGCTCCTTCAAAATCATCATACTTATTTTATGTGCCTTATCAACCCTAAAATATTCTGCCTCCCTCTTCAGCACCTTATAAAGAATAAAGTTATGAATACAGAAATATGTTTTTGCTTTGCTCAAAATCTTCCTTTGAGTGATAAAATGAACAATTGAATAAACAGGCATTCCTCAAACTTCTCCTCTGTCAACTAGAGAACCAGATACAGACATTTTTTATTTCATTAGCATTGAGAAGACATGTAGAAAGGAATTGTCAGAAATTTTTTCTTCTTCTTTGTAAAAGAAAAGCAATACTGTATAGCTGCATTTTACACCAAGATTGGGTTCCAAAGGCAGTGGATTAGGCAAAAACCAAGTTTTACTAAAACATTTCCATTGAAAATCCCTTCAATTACCCTACAGTACAACTGAATCCATATAACCTAAATATGCATCAGATGCGACACAACTGTTTTTTCTAAAACATGCCTCTGGTGATTAAAGTGATTCAGCAACTGGAATTCTGAATGCAATAACTAGATTCTACATGCAATAACTAGATAAAAATACCATTTGATACCTAAAAGAACTGAAAACAGAGACTCAGATATTTGTTCACTCACGTTCATAGCAGCATTATTTAATAGCCAAAAGGCAGAAGCAACCCAAGTGTCCATAGACAGATGAATGGTGTGATGATTAATTTTATGTGTCAGCTTGACTGGGCCATGGGGAGCCCAGATATTTGGTTAAACATTATTCTGAGTATGTCTGTGAAGGTGTTTCTGGATGAGATTAACATTTGAATCTGTAGACTGAGTAAAGCAGATGGCATTCCCCACTTCCCCAGCCCTCCCCCTCGTCCGAATATGGATCAACCTCTTTAGCTCCACTGAAGGCCTGAATAGAACAAAAAGGCTGAGTAAGACAGAATTCCCACTCTCTGCATGACTGTCTTCAATCTAGGATGTCAGTCTTCTCTTGCCTTCAGACTCAGACTCAGACTGGAACTTACACCATCGGCTCTCCTAGTTCTCAGGCCTTCTGGTTTGGACTAGAACTATACCATCAACTCTTCTGGGTCTCCCACTTGCCACCTATAGATCTCGGGACTCCTTGGCCATCATAATTATGCGAGCCAATTCCTCTGGAAAACCTTGACTAATAAAGACTTTGGCACCAAGAGTAGTCCTATAGGAACAGAATGTTAAGAATGAGTTAATTGGTTCTGGGGGTTCTGGAACTGGCTCTCTAATCTGATTGGATTTAAAGATGTTAATGACTCTATTTCCAGTAGTAAAGAGAGCACTGAGAGTCCTTGGTGTGATCCGGCAATAGAGATATGCACAATATTTCCAATGGAAATTCCTAATCAACCACTTATAAGAAGTAAGGAGCTGAGTAACTTTGAATGTGATACTTTCAAACACTTGGAAAACTAACCAATATAATGAGATTAGCTGGATGCTCCTAATGTCACCAGACAAAGCGGTGAAAGCAAAGGACAGCGATTTGAATTCCCAGCTTAAGCGCAGCATAAATTAAGTGAAAGTTTCTGTGTGTGCACTGAAGACCCTTATTTCCCGTAGCCACAGGGCTGAGATTGCTGAAAATCAAACAAAGAATCTCATCCTGAATTACCATGCAAGTAGAACTACCAGCCCTGCAGGTGTCTACTGTTAAAGTGAGGGCATCTGATTGAGAAAGAATGAGAACATGTAAGTTGAAATGGTGACATGTAGGAAACCCTAAAGAAGCTGGGGACAATGAGCCTCTAAATTCTAAGTCTTCTTTGCCAGTGAAAGACAACTCCCCACCCTCAGTGGAAGCAGTCTCTCTACCCTCTGAAGGAATTAACCTGCATTGCCCTGAGGACACTGTAATGGCCTCCCATTAGGCAGCTGCCATGTAAGACAAAGCCAATTCTTTTCAGGACCCAACCCCCAAACTCTTCTTTGCTTCTAGACTTTCCTATAAAGGTGAGGTATAAAGTATGACTCAAGAGGAGGAATACAACGCTCCAAAAGTACTACTTGGGTTTTCTAATTTATACAGACATAAATCCAGAGAATATGCGTGGGAAGGGATATTAAGGGTGTGGGATAATGGCAGAAGGAACCACCAAGTCATATTTACTGATATAGGCTCACTAAGCAGAGATTCTGTATTTAACGTTGCAGCTTAGGTAGTTAGGAAGGGCTCTAACAGTTTGAGTGGTTGGCTGAAACACAGACCAAAAGAGTGAATTACAAATGCCAGACCTGCTTTGGTTTAACACAGAGGAAAGGATTCAAAGCTTTAGGGAGACAGGAATGTTAGAGTGGATATGTCATTGAAGATTTATTCATCCACAGTG